CCTCCTACAATGGGCAGTGCCGGATTTTCAAAGCAAATATAACAATGCAGAAAGAGTTAGGATTTCCTTTCTTCTATCAGGATCTCAATGAACTATAAAGATACTGTTATCATCAACTCAGTGCAAATCTCCTCTGCATGATGGATCTGTGGTCATTGAGTCAAATTCCTTTTGGAGCAGACATTCCAAAGCTTTTATGTACTATAATTGATGGTTTTGTTGAGCATCAGTTTTTCCTTTGCAACAATGGGATATGTTAAGGGGGTTCAGCACTAATTCATGCAATGTGTAATTGCCTTCAAGGGAGTCACAGTCCTTGGGATATATGGCACATCCACCAAAGCTCATACGTTTGACACTATGGCATACAAATTCTCAACAAATCAATATAGAGAGATGGTGTGTTACATATTTGTTTTGGACCTGATATACAATGCATATAGGAGTGGAAGTGGGTGTTATTATTCTTCTCATTGAGAGCATCAAATACATACAAGCTAATAATATCATTAATCTACATGTGCAATGACATTTTACAATAGTACAGATGTATCTGGACCACAAGAGGTAATGGTTCCGGGTTGTATCATTGGGAGAATGGTATTTACTCAAGATGTGGTTTCCAAGGTGCTTGCAACTTTTTTTCCATTGCTTTAAGTGTTGCTAGAGCTGTCAGGCTATTAGATGCTGTATATTTTCCTTGCTACTTATGTTATTTGAGATTTGCACTGTTGAAATGTGCTCTACAATCAATCAATGGGATCAGTCAATGACTGGATGAGTTTTACCTCCTCTCATGGGATTTGACATTAACGGTACACAAACATGAACACTCAACCCAAAAATGCATGGACAAAACCCATGGGAACCCAATTGTTGTTGAAGGTTTACATTGGTTTTCAAAACCCAAAAAACAATTGGGTTGCCATGGGTTTTGTCCATGGGTTTTTAGGTTGGGTGTTCATGTTTGTGGACCACTATTGCATTCATTCGAGGTCCACTTCCAGGCTGTTTAAATATGTTATTTTACAGATAACTGTTGAAGTATCCAATTGACGTAAGAAAGAAAAAGGTAGAAACGTAATGTAATCAAATATTTAGTGAAAGATATAAGATAAAAAATTAACAATCATTAGACAAAATAATTTTCCATTCTGACATTTACCCCAATGTAAAAGATAATCAACTACTTATACTAGTCATCCCTTCACTCGACTTACTTCTCTTTCCCCATCTTTGGGAAGAGAAGTAAGCACTATTTCATACTTTAATTTTATATTGAATTCTATATGTCATTGACCTTGATAAAACTATTTGTTTGATAAATCAGAACTTTTGTTCTCTTTGTAGACCACCAGAGATCTGTTATCAAATCTAGATAACATATTAACTAATCAACATATTAGGGGGTTTCAAGTCAATAAATTTACGGTATTTTACAGTCCAACAAGTTGTCCGATGTTGCAAAATATACCGTAAATTTAAAAAAATTGGGACACCTTTTTAGGTGTCCCAAATGGTGTTGACCGTATATTTGCAGAAAAAAAACCCACTGTAAAATTTAAAAAACTTGTCCGTTTTTTGAAAAGTTTCACAAAAAATTTCTGACTTGAAACCCCCTATTATCCTTTCTGTACCTTATAATAGGTATTAAATGTTTTCTATTCTTTTCACTTCATGCAGCAGGTGCCCAAAGGCACGACGGCACCTGCACAATTCCATGAAAAAGGAACAGGAACACATTGATCGGGCAGCCTCGGTACCAGTGAGATCTAGTACCGAGGCCATACAGGGGAAAGATCTTCCCCAACGGAAACAAAATTTTGGTGAGGAAAAATTATTTCCATCCGTCACCAAAACATTCTTTCCTACTCAATCACTCACTATTGACACACAACAATCAAGAACAAATAGGTACAAGTCTCACTATTTCTTGAAAAATTTTCTTTGTCTGTTCTATTTCACTTTACAAAAGATAATCCATCCAAAAAAACGTAAACACAAAAATAGAAAGACATCTTAGGTTACAAAGAAAATTCTAAGAAGATAATTAAATAGTCGACCTCAACTACAACCAAAATGTCCAACCCCAATTTACCAACCGGAATCGAAAACATACCACCACGGTCCTCAACCCCTAGCCAATCCCTAGAAACGGTGAAAAGTAGAACCCGGAAAGGTAAAAAGAATGAAACATCGATGTCGACCAATAAAGAAGGAAGTGGTGATCATGAAGGAGAAGAAAGCAGAAACCAAGGTGGAACAGGTGATATGTTGAATGAAAGATTGAATAACGAGGAACTATCCAACTCGACCAAAAACGTAGGACACCTTTCAACAAATGACGAAGGCTTAGGCGGAAACGCCCAAGAAGAAGATGCTAGAGAAGGAAATGAGAATCATGGAGCCATAACAGGACTAGGTTAGTTATAAATCAATCTGCAGTATTGAAAGACAATTTCCAGTGTGGCCAGAGATACCCCGCACTCCCTCCCGACCTCCAAACTCTACAACACGATCCTTTCTTCGCTCTCTTCCCCCCCCCCACTACATCAATTTCTCTCTTCCTACATCATCAACTCCGTTCTCCCTATTTTTCACTCTTTCCCTAATTCGTATCCCAGAGTGGCCAGAAGATCGCTGCCGATCATACCCCTAGAGTGGCCGTGAATAAACGAGTGGCCGATACAGGATGACAAAATAAGTCATACCCTGAAGAAATAACTAGTGTGGCCAGAAAAATAATTAATCATTAACCAGACAAAATGATATTCAAATAGATCAAAAAAAAAAAAAAAAAGAGAGACCCTCCGAGTTGAGATGATAGCTTGATAATGGCCCGGCTTATTCCTTTTTCCAAAAAAAAAAAAAAAAAAAGAAACAGATATAAGATTTGATACTTACAAGTGTGGCCTATCCTTTCGAACTTTTGTTATGACAGATCCTGATTGTGAAAACATGGCAGAACCAGTTCAAATAGAACACGGTCATGCGAAATGGTTGTTCAACATAAACGAAGCCCTAGAAAGAGATATGATAAATCAGTATCGAATCTTTCGAGAAGAATACCAATTTTGGTGTCAAAACGAGAATACCGAACCTAGGGATCTCGGATTGATGAATTTTACCTTTAAAGAAAAGAAGAAAGATTCAGAACCTCAATCAGAAACACCAAAAGAAAAATCCAAGTCAAAGATAGAGACCAACACTAAGATGATAATAGGGTCCTTACCTACTAACAACATGACCGGCTTATCACAATATTTCCATGAGATTATGCTTAATAAGAATGTCCATATGCCGGTATCGATTTTTGACCCCACTTGGATTATACAAGATTCGTTATTTATGAAGACCAGGTCCACAAAGACTAGTTGTTCAACTAACATCGTATCTTATGTCGGACTCCCGTATGTCAACGAATACCGATTAACCCCTATGGAATGGTCAACACGGTTCAACTTGATGGTGAAATATCAAGAAGAAAAATATGATGTTTTAGAATCTCAAAAGTCCTCACCAATAGCTCCTAGATTACGCCAACACAAAGAAAATGTTTTACAAATTCAAATCAAATGCCATGGGAAGTGGACCCCAGCGATGAGATATGACATAGCCCACCGTAGAAACGTCTGGGAGAACAGATTAGCAGATGGTTCCATGGCTGACGTAGGAACGTTAAACGAAGAATTAGCTGAAAGTGCGAAAGAAGACGCTAAACACTTCGGAGATTACAAGTATATCGACAACCCTTATGCATTTGGCAATGTCTTACAGAATGTTAGCCCTATTAACGGAGAAACCTATCCCGAAAACGCTTCTTGGGATTCTAGTAACGCATTGGTCGATACGCAAGCTGAAATGTTAACCGGAAGAAGTCTGTCGTCAGTGACTAATCTACCAGTCTTGCACCAAGTAACGAACCAAGCAAGCGGCACAAGTTCAGGGAAGATAGGAGGTAACAGATATAAGGGAAGACATTACAACCCACTGTTTGATAGGTCCCTAAATCACCACCCAGCTCCCTACTTCCATCCTAATCCTCAGACGTACAATGCCGACTTCAATCCTCCTTATCAAACTTATCAAAGAGGAGGTAATCCGAGAGGAGGAGGAAGAGGAAACGCTCCTAGAGGTAGCAGAGGTCGTGGTAATGGTACACGTCCAGCGATAGGACCGGGAAGTTTTGATCGAAATTTAGGTTCAGCTGGTGTTAAGAACGGAGAAAAGGCTGTCGGAAGTACTACTTCAAACTCAACGTAAGTAAAAAAAAAAAAAAAAAGAGCAGATTGTAGAACGTGAAAGATTGTTAGCCACCTCCGTCCTAGTGACATCAAGTTGTTAAATTCTTTGCCTAACAACTGTTATGTTCCCGTTCCTATAAACATTGATGTGGTAGTTCGAGAAAAGTTGTCAACAGAATGCTAATTAGATAACGTTGTTTTGTTTCTTTTGTTTCTTTTTTTGTTCCTCTCTTACTTAAACCTGGTGGTCCATGTACCGTCATCTTTGTTTACCCTCCAAAAACATGGAAATGAATGAATACAGAAGTGTTATTACCGTGCCAACATCTGATAATCAAAGAGAAACTACGACCGTTGAGATTCAAAGAGAAGAAACAAGTGAAACAGAAGAAGGTGAGATAGATGAACCAGAAGCTTTGAAGAACTGGCCTACAGAGGCAAAGAATGAGATGAATTTAGAAGAATGGAAAATCCTCTTAACAGAATATAAATTAATGGACAAATGGGAGAAAGTTTGGAAAGGACTTACCCAAGGATTCGATCAAGGCATCCCTGAACACTCCTGGAAAGATAAACGGTGGTTCACACCCGACAATCATCGATCAGCACTTGCAGTAAAAGACAAAATCATGAAAAACCTGTATAAAGAGAGGAGATTAGGGAGAATCTTTGGACCCTTCACGCACGAGGAGGTATTCAAACGGTTCGGTTTCTTTCGTTCGAACCCGATGGGAAGTGTCACGAACAATGATGGTTCGTTGAGAATGATCAACGATTTGTCATACCCTAGGATGAAGGTAGTACAATCAAAGAAAAGAAAGAGTACACCAAATGAGGAACAAGAGTCAGATTCAGACGACGAGGAAGAAAACCAGAAATCAGATGTGGCATTGAAATGGATAAAACGCTCAAATTATAACTCATCAGAAGACGATATACCGTCCGTTAATTCCTTCGTAAATAAACACGACTTCGACACGACGTGGGACGATTTCAATATAGTGGCAAATTACTTCAAAGCTAACTTAAAGAAGAAGATACTGCTGGCTATCGTAGATTGGTTGAAAGCGTATCGACAAGGCTCTACGGCATCCAATCAATGGCGTTACTTGACGATTAAGGACTTCAATGGGAGGATTTGGGTAGACACGAGAATACCCTTCGGCGGTGTGGCTGGATGCGGAACATTCGGTTGGATGGCAGATGGTTGGAGAGACATAATAAAATCAGTATTTGAAGTAAGAGAAATATTTCGTTGGGTAGACGACAACATGTTCGTCAAAATGGAAGGTGACTTACTAGATATGAAGGACGTGATTGAAGTGAGCCAGGGCTTGGGAGTACAATCCAATGAAGAGAAATTCTGTGATTGGAACGTGGAACAGAAATATTTAGGATTTCTATGGAACGGAGAAGATAAATCAGTAAGACTACCAACCAAAAAACTAATGGAAAGGATAGAGAAAATTAAGGACTTACTCGTACCGTCAAGAAAATGTTCGAAGAAAGAAGTTGAAAAAATAGTAGGTCAACTGAGCCACTTGATTTATATCTTACCGATGATGAAATGTTACCTGTGGAATCTCTATTGGTGGGATAAGTCGTGGTATAACCACAGCGCGCTGAGAGAAGTCCCAGAAGGAGCGAAAGAAGAATTGAGAGAATGGTTGCGTAGTCTCGAATCCTTTGACCGGCTGAAGTTTAAAGAAGATCCGGAACCGGTCGAAATTGATTGGGTCGGGGACGCGAGCACCGGATATGGCATCGGAGTATTGATCGGTAAACGTTGGTCAAGTTTCACACTGATTGATGGATGGAAAACTGCAGGGATTTCACAGAATAATCAGAAACGTGACATCGCATGGTTAGAAACCGTGACAGTCAGAATAGGCTTACTAATGATTGAACAGTTACTACCGACTGACGAGCGACGATTCATCGTATATACTGATAATACTACAACTGAATCAGTGATTACCAAATTCAAATCAAAGAACAAGTTGGTGAACGAGGAGTGGAAGATTATTCAAAAGGTGTTATCGAGGTTGAACTGCTCAATCGTAGCCAAACGAGTGACTTCCGGGGAAAACAACGCTGATAAACTGTCGAGAGGTTTAGAGACAGAGAAAGATCATAAAACAGAAGTCCGAATCGATTTACCAAGGGACCTACTCGGGTTGCTGAGGAGAGACTAATAACAATGATGACCAATGAGAAGAAGATCGTTAATTTTCTGAAGAATAGAAATGGGTATGTCTGGGTGTTGTCACAAGTTTGAAGGAGCGAGACGACTGACCTACTTGATGGCATCCATGTGATGTTTCTTCCCTTCTTCGTTCGTTCCGTAAACCAAAACCGCCCACCAACCGACTTCATTTATGAATACATAGGATGATCGATTGGAAATCAGACCCGATAAAATCCCGGTTGCTACAAGGGAGCTGGTCACAAACGACTCTACAGAACTATAACACGGCGATGGCAAAGTTAGAAAGATTCGGTGAAGCGGAGAAGTTGGAAAGGAAGGAACTGTTACCATTGAGCCAGAAATCATTGTGGGCGTTTATTGTGTGGGGGGGTAAACAAGTTAATGTAGATTTTGATGACCAAGACATAGTAAATAACCTGAACAAAGAGCATAAGGTTACCGCAAAGACGTTAGTTAAATACATATCAGGAATACGATCTTGGCACCTCTTCCATAACGAACCGTTTCCATCAGAGAATGATAAAGTATCCAAATTACTTCTCAAAGCTGCGAGTGAAGCCGACGCGAAATGTAAAGAATTAAACCAAGTAGTGAGGAAGCCGGTGCAATTGAGGCATCTAGCCGAACTAGTAGCGGAACTGGAGAACGGAAGTAAGAGAGATCGATTAGCGTTAGCGATTGCTTTGATAGCCTTCTGGGGAATGGCTAGGTTAGGAGAACTGGTTTCAGATGATAAAGACAAAATGATGATTTTACGAAGAGACTTAATTTACGCACCCGATCATTCCTACTTCAAACTAGCATTACACAAGGCCAAAACCGCAAAACCGGGAGAGGTACAATACCTACATGTCCGAAGGATCCCGTCCTACTTATGTCCAGTCAGGGCGATAGAGCGAGTGATGAACGAGAACCCAAGTAACGACCTGTTCGACAAATTCTTCTCTTATACAGATGCAAAGGGGAAAAGATTAACTCTAACGAAGGCAACGACCTTGAACATCTATAAGAGGGTCTGGAGTAAGAATCACGAGAATCATCATTTGTCAGGACATTCGTTTCGGATTGGAGGAGCGACCTTTAAATGGAATGACAAAATGCCGCTAGACGACATAATCAAAGCTGGGAGGTGGGAATCAAAAGCTTACCAGTTGTACCTTAGGAAGTACACGGAAGGAGATGTTATAGACGCTAGACTAATTTGGGATTGGATGAAGATTCAGGAAGAAGAAATGGAAGAAGATTCCTGAAAAGAGAGGTAGGAGATGGTAAAATGTATCCAACAGTGAAATGTATTGTGACTGAGACGAAAGGTCTGAAGTGTAAATGAAAAGATAAGAGAGAAACAGCGAAACGCTATAGACGATCAAAAAAAAAAAAAAAAAAACAAGAGAGGGGGAGAAAGCAGTTGAGCGTGAGATAATCGGGACACTAAGGGGCCTCGGGACATACCGAAGTAGGCTCTCCGCAGGCTCCGGACGATAAGTCCCGAGAAGTGGAAGCAGAGAGCCTACCCCGTCAGAAAACCAGCGGCCTACCGGCCCCCCCCAAACACGTGAAGAGGCGTAAGATTACTTATGCCTTAACACTAATGGTATTTTGATTAGGTAGCAAGCTGTACACAATAAAGAAATAGATAAAACATGAAACTAAATTAGAAAAATGAAAACGAAAACTAGGAATTAAAAACATAAAAGAAAAATTTGCCCTACAAAGAAATGTGAGACCCGATTGATGGAATGCAGCAGGTGCCCAAAGGCACGACGGCACCTGCACAATTCCATGAAAAAGGAACAGGAACACATTGATCGGGCAGCCTCGGTACCAGTGAGATCTAGTACCGAGGCCATACAGGGGAAAGATCTTCCCCAACGGAAACAAAATTTTGGTGAGGAAAAATTATTTCCATCCGTCACCAAAACATTCTTTCCTACTCAATCACTCACTATTGACACACAACAATCAAGAACAAATAGGTACAAGTCTCACTATTTCTTGAAAAATTTTCTTTGTCCTCCCACCCACCCCCTGCACCCTACCGCGCAGAGAGCCTACCCCGTCAGAAAACCAGCGGCCTACCGGCCCCCCCCAAACACGTGAAGAGGCGTAAGATTACTTATGCCTTAACACTAATGGTATTTTGATTAGGTAGCAAGCTGTACACAATAAAGAAATAGATAAAACATGAAACTAAATTAGAAAAATGAAAACGAAAACTAGGAATTAAAAACATAAAAGAAAAATTTGCCCTACAAAGAAATGTGAGACCCGATTGATGGAATCATAGTTCCAAGTTGTGGATTTGATTCAGTTCCAAGCGATTTGAATACGATGATTGCTTCTCAAACTTTGAAAAAACTCGTGGGCAAGGATGTTGGTGTGGGTAGAGTGACTTCAGGTGTTGATGCTCGTGGTGGGGTTAGTGGTGGTACACTTCTTAGTCTTTTAGGGACCTTTGATGATGGGTTTAAGGCTTTTAGTAAAGCTATGGAATCTTATGTTTGAGTCCAAGTATGATCTC